GAGTGACCGGGAGACAGAGCAAAGGAGCAGTGCTGAGACCTGGAGACTGTGGCAGCAAGCTGTCTCCTGGCCCACGGGTGCTGAGGACTAGAGAGAGACTTGGCTGCAGGCCATGGACAGGTGCGTCTGTGGACCAATGACTGTATCCTTAATGTTTTCTGACCCCGTCTTATAGCAACCTGTTAACTTCCCAAACAAATCCCATTGATCATAAATATTGTCTTTGAGTTCTCTGTAGCCACTGCAAGGAATGAGCAAACTCAGCAGGGAAATAGCATGCTGGAGGAGGAATGTTTGCTGTCAGAATAGGCAGAGAAAGATGGAGCGGGGAGGCATGTCAGAGGTGGCCGTCTGGACTGGTTTTGGCTGATGGTGGTCAGAAGTAGATCGTCCACTCTTTCTCCCTAGTCTGTCTTAGACAGGAAGCTCTGCTGAAACCTGATCAGCATTGTAGCCACACACAGGCCTCCACTGACACACCATGCATGTGGTGACTGGGCTTGATGCCCTAGCCAGAAATTATGGTCTCTGGGGAATAAACATGGGAAGAGATGATAGAGGAGAAAAGAGAAATTCTTTTTTCTTTCTTTCTTTTTTTTTTAAGATCCTTTTATTGGGGGCTCTTACAACTCTTGTTACAATCCATACATCAATTGCATCTGACATACTAGTACATATACTGCCATCGTTCTTTTCTAGACATTTACTTTCTATGGAACTCTTGGGATCAGCTTCTCTCCCCACCCCCTCGTGTCCCCCTGATAGATTATAGATTGTTATTATTTTCATACCTCACACTGACCGCAGGCTCCCTTGCCCTCTAGTTTCTCTTGTTCTTCACCCTGGATGGGTGTGTGTGGTTATGTGTCAATCACTGCGATCGGTCCCCACTTCCTTCCCACCTCTCCCCGCCTTCCCCCAACCCTTCTGGGATCACTATTCCCATTCCTGTTCCTGGGTTCCCTGTGTCGTGAGTTTTATCTCTTGCCTGTACCTATCTACATGTTCTCGTCTAGTCCAGAGTGGGGAGCAGCACTGGGGTCATGATAGTGGGTGTGTGTATGTGAGGAGGCCTCAAGGGATCCAAGGTATATTGCATGATCCATCAGTGCTCTACTGCACCCTGACTGACTCATTCCCTTCTGCGACTCCTTTGTGGGGCGATGTTCCATTGTCCACAGATGGTCTTTGGGTCTCTGCTCCAACCCCCTTCATTCTCACCAATGCATTTTTGTTTGTTGTTTGTATGAAACTTCTGATGCCCGTTGACCAGTCCCGATGACACCTCTTGATTGGACCAGCTGGTGTGCTTCTTCCATGTGGGCTTGTTGCTTCACTGTTGGATGGATGCTTATTTAACTTCAAGCCTTATTCTGTCTTCACCACAACTGCTTATGCACCTATTTTGTCTTCAGCAATCATGTGGGGAGTTGGGGTGGAGTGGGGTGAGCATCACAAAATGCCATTTTGTTAGAACAAAGTGTTCTTGTATTGAGGGAAGGTATGAGCTGAGGCTCAAGACCTGTCTGCTGCCTCAGTGTATAGGCCAATACCTCTATTTTTATGGATTAATGTATTTGCCTAAGTACACACCTCTGTTAATACCTCTATCTATAGCTTTGCTGAGCCCCAAGACCTGTCTGCAGCCTCAGTGTATAGGCCAATACCTCTATTTTTATGGATTAATGTATTTGCCTATGTACACATCTCTGTTAATACCTCTATCTATAGCTTTGCTTTCTAGAGCTTACCTGTTTCCTTTTGCCTCCTCCTGCCCCATCATCACTTTCCCCCTAAAATAGAAATTCTTATATTGTATGATTCACTCTCTTTAGAATTTCATTTTGCCAGGAGTACATATTATGTCTGATACTCATATTATCAGAAACTACTTAGAGAAAGAGTTCAAATCCGGGAAGACAACACACGAATGCTGATTGTAAATAGATGTGATTCATGTCAGACAGCAGCCCCCAAGGGGTGGGTGCTCCCAAGAGAGGACAGTGAGCAGGTTGTAGAGGTCACTGTTATGCTCATTTTTCAGAAGATAACATCTAAGCACAACAGGCAGGGGTTTGGGATGTGTCTGTGATAGAAACTGAATCACGAGGATGCACTATGCATCCTAGTCCGATGCTGCAGCTACTGCTCTGTGAAGCTGGCCACACAGGGCTCATTGTCCAAAAGAGCCCAGTGACCCAGGCAACATTCTCCCTGGGAAGCTGCTCACTGAGCTATTGTTTGCCTGGAATTTGACTCCAGGGAGCTGGTTACCTTAAGGTTCAAAGTGTGCTAAGCGTTCAGAGAAGCAACAAGCCCACATGGAAGAATTGCACCAGCCAGAGAGAAGAGTCATAACAAACAAGCAAAACCATATTGTTGAGAACGAGGGGGGTTGGAGCAGAGACCCAAAGCCCATCAATGGGACATCCTTCCACAGAGGGCTCACAGGGAAGGGATGAGTCAACCAGGGCTCAGTAAAGCACTGATGGAACACATAATGTGCCTCTGGTTCCTTGAGGCTTCCTCACTCCCCTACCATCATGACCCCAGTGCTGCCTCTCACTTCAAACTAGACTGGGGCATGTACACAGGTATAGATAAATGATAAGAGCTCATGACACATGGAACCCAAGAACAGGAATGGGAATAGCGCTATCAGGAGGGGAAGGGGAAGGTGGGGAGGGGAGGAAGGGGGAACTGATTGCAATGATGGGCACACAACCACCCCCAACCCTCCAGGCAAGACGAACAACAGAAACCATGGGGGAAGGGAGATAGCAGTCAGTGTAAAATATAAAAATAATAATAAGTTATAATTTATCAAGGGGTCTCGGGTGGGGAGGGGAAAAAAGAGGAGCTGATAGCAAAAGCTCAATCGAAAACAAATGTCTAGAAAAGAATGATGGCAACATAAGTACAAATATGCACAACACAATTGGTGTACGGATTGTTATAAGAGTTTTAAGAGCCCCCAATAAAATTATCTTTTAATACAATTTTTTAAAATGTGCTAAGGGTGGATGAGCTGGGAGGGGGTCACCTCAATTCCTAGAGCCCAGAAAGCTGAATTCCAGGAGAATCCAAATGTTTTCTTCAATAGAAGCAACAGGTAACTGCACAACTTTCAAATAAAATTTAAATGTCATGGAAACTTTAAAAATGGATCCTGTTGTAAGAGTTTTAACAAAGGGGACCTCTCAACACAGTCCCCATCAGTTGTTTCGATTCGGACGTTGCCACTACGATGAGGTCAGTTACACGCTGGGCCCCTGACCGTAAGATCAGCCCATTGAAAGCACCAGCTGTTCCTCGGGAGAAAGAGCAGACTGTAGTCCTGGGAAGCCACAGCGACAGTTCTAGCTGGTCCTATCGGGTCACTATGAGCTGGAATCCACTTGATGGCAGTGAGTGAGTTGGAAGGAGCTCTGATGATTAGAGGTGCCCTGGGGAAGGCAGGGCCCAGGACTCTCAAACCTGAAGAATTCTCTGCTTACAGTGGAGATTTGTTGGGGGTGGGGGGCGGGGGTGGGGTTCTGGTTATTCTATAGTGTCTCTTTGTCTAAAGTTAAAAATATTGTCCATTCATTCCAGAAATGGATTGCATGATGTGGTAGTTGGATCATTTTATGTCAACTAGACACCCCTGGCTAGGGGTAGAGTCAAACCTGTCAATCATGTGGTAGATTGATGACCTCCTCCTTGGGGATGTGGCCTTTTGGATGACACTGAGAGACTCTGGGAACTGCTTTCGCTCTGCCACTTTGCCTTCCTCCTCCCGGCTCCTCCCGGGGACTCCGAGTCTGCCTCCAGAGGGACCCCATGTGCACCACCTAATCCTATTGATACCCTGCTCTCTTTCCACTGATTTTGACCCATGCACGCCTACCAGCCTGTGATTGTTTTGCATCCTGGTTCACCATTTTGGATCATCACCATTTTACTGTGTAAGTCTGAAGAGGGACGTGTGGACTAGCATCAGACTTATGGATTTGAGTTGGACTGGGCTGGGATGCCTTCTTGATACATAACCACTTCTTGAGATCAGGCTTTGTTTAAAAAAAATTAAACAGCATCTTTTATTTTATAATAAGATGAATGTTTAGTATGTTCATGGGAAAAGGGAATCAAAAGATTAAGCAACCAAAGGAATTTCATCTCTTAATCTTTTAAGCGACAACCTGCAGTGTGGGAATTTAAATTTCGATGTCTTTCAAGCATTCACCTCACTGGACCAAAAAATGAAGGATTGAAAAACAAAAGCCAAACTGGAAAAGAGGCCCTCTCTTTCCCTCCTTGTGAGGATAGGAGTAAATTTGAGATTGCTCTGTAAAGAGTTAAGTGCACTGAATAGTATTTGAAAATCTGAGCATTCTATTAAAAAAAAAAAAAGTAGAAAACAAGTCTAACTCATCAACAGAAAGAACCGAGATTCAGGAAGGCTGTATTAGAGGGCCATTTCCTGCGTGGTTTGTCTCCTCGGTCACCGTCCACAGGACTCTGAGCGGCTGTAGGAATATGCAGACACAGACCCAGGGCCCGGCTTGATCTCTGATGTCATGGGAAAGGACTGTACGTCACAGGCCAGAGCCCTGGGCTTCTCTATGCCACTTGGACAGAGCCCGGTGAGAGTGACCTTCTGGGAATCTCCACATCGGGGGACATAGAGCTTTCTTAGACATAGATGAGTGTCATTGGATTTGTTTCTCTAGACAACCCATGCCTAACAGACGTGATATTCTCCATATGTAAGGGCTGACATCACCGCTGGTAGAATTCCTGGGGTGGCATCCCATTGAGTTGGGCTTGCAAATAGCCACCGTGGAAGAAATTTCACCTGGTCTTGAGTCTTGGATTATCTGCTATATATTGATGGAGTCTTTGCAAACAACACTCACACCTCGCCCAATGCTTTAAGTAGCTTACTGAAAACCAGAGAAGAACCCATTACTGTCCAAGCAGCGATTTCTTTCCTAATGTCGTCCAGAGAGCCACCAGCTCTTGTCTTCTTTGATGGTGGATCATTGATTCTTTCAGGACTGGAACACAGTAACCATCAGACTCACTCCTCTGAGTCTGCTCAGGTCGTTTGGTGTTTCCTCCTTGAGATCAAGGGCAGTTTTAATGACCGCAGCCCTTCCACAACAAAGGGAGAATACAGAAAAATCGGGGCTGATTATCGAGTTCCTTTGTTATCATTAACACTCAGTAACATTCTCAGGGAAAGACAAAATGTGCTAATGAGGGTGGTTTTTTTTAACAAGATAAAAAGGTGTTTTTACAGAAAGAAAGTCAAGAGTTAGATTTACCGATGAATGAAAAAGAGAGCCGAGGCAGGTGGTGATCAGTTCTGGGATTTAGCTTGAATCCAGCGTTCTCAGATGTGACTGTTAATGGTGCTGTTTTAGTTCAATAGCATGTCTTATTCTTAAACAAAGAACAAAGACCGAATCCACTTTCAAAGTAGCTCACAGTAAGAAAAAAATGGTATTGATTCCGATGAAAGCTGACTTTTCTCCTGGAGGCATCTGCTTATTCTACAGCTCTCTCTGACTTAAGCCAAAAACATGGTCCATGAAGGTCACTAGTGAAAGGAACAATTAACAGCATTCAATGAAGGAAAACAAACAAACAAACAAACAAAAACTCAAACAGGCATTTGGTTATCACATTGTGTGTGTGCGTGCTTGTTCTCACACACATGTGTGTATGCACACACCCTATAAGCCATTTGATTAGTCTGATCTCAGATGCCCTATAAAACTGAATTATATGAAGAAGAATTTGGCACCAGGATTGGAGGAAGGTTTATTGATAGCCTGTGATATGCAGATGACACAACTTTGCTTGCTGAAAGTGCGGAGGACTTGAAGCACTTGCTGATGCAGATCAAGCACAACAGCCTTCAGTATGGATTACAACTCAATGTAAATAAGAATCCTCATAAAATGATCAATAGAAAGCCTAATGATAAATGGAGAAAATGTGATGTTGTCCAGGATTTCAACTTCCTTGAATGCACTTCACAGGCAGTGCTAATGGAAGCAGGAGTTCAAGTGCATTGCCTTGGGTCAATCTGCTCCACAAGATCTGTTTAAAGTGTTGAAGAGCAAGGATGCATCTTGAGGACTAAGGTCATGGCATTTTCCATCACCTGATATTCACGTGAAAGTTGTACATTGAAGAAGAAAGGCTGGAGAAGGCCGATGGATTTTAATAGTAGTGTTGGTGAGGAATATTGAAAGTACTGTGGACTGCCAAAAGAAAAGAAAGGAAGAGAGAGAGAGAGAGAGAGAGGATGGCTAGATTTCATCTCATACTCTGGACATGTTATCAGGAGAGACCAGGACCTGGAGAAAGACACCAGGCTTGGTAAAACAGAAGGGCTGCTTAAAAGAGGAAGGCCCTGTTGGGATGGATTGACACCGTGGCTGCAAACCTAAGAACAATTGTGAGGATGGCGCAGGACTGGATGGTATTTCCTTCCATTGCACACAGAGTCACTCTAGGTAGGAACTGACTCAAGGGAACTTCACAGCAACAGCATCTTCGGTGCCCTGGAGGCGTTTTGGGGTATCTGTTGGACTGCTAACTGAAAGAACAAGAGTTGGAACCCACCAGCTGCTCCAGCAGGGAAAGCTGAGGCTTGCTTTCCCCATAAAGACTGACAGCCTCAGGAACTCTGTTCAGGATTGCTATGGCTCAGACTCAATGCAAGGGCAGTAGGTTTGGGTTCGTGGTTAGACACTAGGAAGGTAGCAATGCTTCAGCATTTGTGTGATACTGCTATAGGACACTATGCGAGAGAGAAGCCTAAATCGATTTCAAATGAGTGGGACTGCTTGGGACTTGAAGGCGATGAATTTAGAGACCAAGAGAGAAATAAAGTTAAAACTCTATCTTCTGACTGCACAGAGGAATAAAGGATCAGTCTCTGATTCCTGAGAAAGGGACACGTAGTATTGTTCATGTTCAATTAAACAGAAACTGGGCATGTTCCCTCTTTCTAAAGAACCTAAGGACCCTGGTGGCACCGTAAATTCAGTCTTAGGTTTCTAACCACAAGCGCTTGAGACCCAGCAGCTGCTCTGCAGGAGACACCTGAAACTACTTGCTCTTGTCAGGAGAAAATCATGAAGCTGTTGACTCATTATGGTCTCAGAAACCCCAAAGAGTTTTTCGACTGCCCTACAGCATCACTGTCAGTAGAATCTACTTGATGGCTATGGATTTGGCTTGGCCCTGTGGTTTTCTGAGGATCTTGGACCGGTGTCTCCTTGTGCGATTCTGAATCCACACACGTTTCCTCAGACCCATCGTTAGCTGAGTCAGGACATCTGCAGGTCTATGCCCTCTGCACTTCCCAGGATATTTGTGTGGGGACATGAGGCAAACACTTCTTGGATGTTCCTGTCAAGCCATCTGTAAGATGCTGGGAATACAGATTCCCACCGTGTCCCATCTCACACACCACATGGATTGTCCAAATTATAGTCCCTTGGACCCTCATCCTGCTCTGTTGCAGACCCCCCCCCAACAAAAAAAAAAAAAAAAAACCAAAACAGCAACAACAGCAACCAGTGCTTCCCCCAAAAGCTTTCTGGGAAACCTCATGGATTTCTTTTTTTTAAACATTTTATTAGGGGCTCATACAACTGTTATTGCAATCCATACACACATCAATTGTGTAAAGCGCATTTGTACATCATTCTCAAGACATTTTCTCTCCACTTAAACCCCCGACATTAGGTCCTCATTTTTCCCCTCCCTCCCCGCTCCCCCCTCCCTCATGAGCCCTTGATAGTTTCTAAATTGGTATTTTGTCATATCTTGCCCTGTCCGATGTCTCCCTTCACCCACTTTTCGGTTGTCTGTCCCCCAGGGAGGAGGTCACATATAATTCCTTGTAATCGGTTCCCACCTCACGGATTTCTTAGCTGTCTCCCAACCCACTCAGGTCAGCCACTGCCTAGCTCAGGACCACCCAGAGCCTCGTCTGTCTCTGAGCTTCCCTCTGACAGCCAGTGCTTTCATCCTTTCGTGAACTCCCTATAGGTTGTGACCTTGAAGAGCCTTTACGGAAGTCGCAGGTGCCCCCGCACCTGCGTGCTCAGACTGTTGGGTTTTCATTTCCTGCCTCCAGGATCTCCTTCTTCCCAGGATGATGAATAGAAGCGGCCTCTTCTGTGCCCCTCCAAGACATCTCCCATCTCCACTCTTCCTTAAAATGGCTTGGCCTTGACCAACCCATTGTCCTCTGTGTGTCAGAGTAAGACTGCCCTCGGAATTGTCACTCTTTCTTCTGAGGAGGTTCAAGCCATTATCCTTTGGGTTAGCAACCAAGCATAGGACTTATTTGTACCGCCCAGTCTCTCTGGTTTTACCATTGAATAGTTATGATCAAAACCATCCTTGCTATTTACCAACTCCAGAATGATGTCACCTAAAATGGCAGCAGGAGGGAGACATACACTCTGACAGTTCTCAGCCAAATCCAGTGTCTTTCCTTTCTATAGACCCTCCTTCTGCTTCAGAGTGAAGTGGAGGCCTGGGTATTCTTCCCAGCGTTTTCAGGACTGCAGTTTCCAATCACCGGATCGCCTGTCCAAGCCAGAGCATGAACTCACCTAAGCCTCAGGGCAAGAGACGGCCAGTTCAAGGTGGACCGAGTCCTTGCAGAAGAAGAAGCAAGAGCAGCTCCTGAGATCTAGTTCGCCTACAATGTACGAAAACATCTGTGTCTAAAGATGTCACTTGGACTTCTCCTTGTGAAGCCTGAGCGATTCAATGACTTCACAATCATCGGTGTGAGTGTACGTCATATTTGTGTAGCCGGGAGATGCTTTGGGGTGGTGACTTTGGAGTAAAGCAGGGGATTGTCTCAAAGGAAGATGCAAGGTGACATTCTTGGCTTCTCAATTTAGCCTCCTGAGAGAGCCAACTATGAATTCTTTGCCAAAGGTGGCAAACCTGCTGCCTGGCTTTACAATCCAGTTGGCTGGTGTGTTTTCCCATTCCTAGGCCACTTCAAAAAGAAGAGTTGACAGCCCACCATTTTAGGAGGCAGTATATGAGAAAGAATTGATGGTGCTGAAGGAAGAAGTTCAAGCTACGCTGAAAGCTTTAGCCCAAAACAAGGCCCCAGGATCAATGAAATACCCGTTGAAATATTACAACAAGCTGATGAAGCACGCACTCATCAATCAAGGATAGTTGGAAGAAAGCTACTGGGCCAACTAACTGGAAGAGATCCATATTTGTACTCATTCCAAAAAGGTGAACAATATGTTTGATAACACACGCAAGTTGAATTTTGCTAAAGATCATCAAACAATGGTGGCAGCAGCATGTTGACAGGGAGCTGCCAGAGGTTCAGGTCAGATTCAGATGTGGAACAAGGGATATCATTACTGATGCCAGAGGGATCATGGCTCAAAGAAGAGAATACCAGAACGATGTTTACTTGTGTTTCATTGACCATGCCAAGGCATTCAACTGTGTGGATCATAACAAACTATGGAGAACCTTCAGAAAAAATGGGAATTCTGTAACTCCTTAGTGCTTCTGTGGAAATTGTACATAGATCAAGAGGCCTTTGTTTGAGTGGAATGAGGGGATACTGCATGGTTTAAAATAAGAAAAGATGTGGTCACTTTTA